AAGATCCCTTATCCCTCTTAAAATGAGGGATAAGGGATCTTTCGGAAAAGGCTTTATTTTCTGAAAGATCCGCGTCTAGACTGGCGCTTTTTTCCGGCAAAGCTCCGAGCTGGAAAAAAGCGGCAGCCATTTTTATGCTAATGAAGTGGGGGGGATTTAAATCCCCGCTTCATTTGCAATTACAATACGTCTTTTTCGGAAAAGGGATGCAGTCTAAACACAGCCCAACTGAAGTGTAAGCAGGGGCTGAACTGCTGCTTGCTATCAGCCAGCTAACAGGAGGGGTGGGTGTGCCCACTACAATTTTTTAACTCTGCAAGTCAATTAACTGTTAACTGTTGATATGTAAATACAGCTCAGGAGAGAATCCGAGGTGTGGCTATGTAAATCCCATTCAGCCAGGGCTGATGGAAGGTCAGTGTTGGAATGGAATGTGGAGAATTGTATATAATTTGGGACTGTTGTGGGGGTCACTAATAATGCTACCCCTAAATGTGGGAACTGTAAAACATGCCACCAGTGCTTGCAGGAGAGATACCACCATCATGGTAAGAGGTCTTGGAGGAACAAGCCTCCCCCCTTCCAGAGTTGAGTGAACTGAGCTGGGGGGAAGAGTTAAAAGGCTTGAGTCAGCCTGCGTCACACCTGCCAGGTGTGAGCTATAAGACTGGCCTAACCTGCCCCTTTCTCCCTTTGTTTTAATGACAAGATCTAAAGCAGACTCCCTGGGGAGTCTTTTCTTTTGCTAGTCCAGTGGAAGCTGGATTCATTTGCCAGTCCAGCTGGTGGCTAAAGAGTTGAAATCACTGAGGGTATGTCTACACTACCACCCTAGTTCGAACTAGAGCGGGACCCTGGGCAGCCTGTGGAGTGGCGGCAACCAGCAGAGTGGCTGGTGGGAATCACTGGCTGGTGGCATAACATGGACAGTAGGAGCGGCGGCAGGTGAGGAATGGCAACCAGCGGCGTGGCGAGGAGTGGCGACCAGAAGTGTGGTATGGAGCAGTGACAGATGAGGAGCGGCGACCAACGGCGGCAGCAGGCGAAGAGTGGCGGCAGGCGACCAGCGGAGCGTCTGGTGGCATGGGACAAGACAGCTGGTGGAATGTGGTGGAGTGTCAAAAGGTGCCCCCTATCTATCCTCCCACCCCCATTTCTACCCAGGTTGGGAGGTGAAACCCTGCGGGTGAACTTTGGGACTCTGTGGGGTGTCGGACTCTTTGAACTTCAGGTGATTCTTGGTGGGGGGGGAGCTTAGCTCATGTTTGGGTTATGAACTCTGTTTGCGGTGTTCCCCCCCAAGTTAATGCCGTATGACTTCTCTCTCTGTTTCGTTAAATGTTTCTTTCCTACACTCAGACTCAGTGCTTGCAAGTGGGGAAGCATTGCCTCTCAGAGGCACCCAGGGGTGTGTGAATTTCCCAGATTACTGGGTCGGGGCTCAAGCCGGTTCTGTGTGAAATGCAGCCCAAGATATTGAACCCAGCCCGGGTTACTTCCAGGCCTACCCGGCAGAAGGGTTACAGAAGTAAAGTCTAGGACCTGTGCAGAACATATGAATATTTGTTTTAGCAAGACTTTAATCTGCATTTTTACTTAAAATGTGAAAATATCTTCCCCCCTTTTCCAATTTGCACTTATTTTTAAACCTTGGCCTTTCTTCCAGAACAGAAGCCAACAAAGCTGCTCTGACTTGGTACTAGCACTTTTGGTAATGTCAGCTGATGGGCTGGCAATGCTTCTATATCATTTGATTCTCGCTGTCCTTTTCCCTGTTTCCCTAATTTAAAGTTTACAGTTCAAGACCATTCCCTGACACACTATAGCAAGGGTAGGACAACTCTTGCAGGCTGTGTCTAGATTGGCAAGTTTTTTCTCAAAAGCTGCTGCTTTTGCGGAAAAACTTGCCAGTTGTCTACACTGGCTGTTTGAATTTCCGCAAGAACACTGACGAGCTCATGTAAGAAATCAGTGCTGCTTGCGGGCAAAAGTCCTTTTGCGCAAAAGGGCCAGTGTAGACAGCTCAGATTTGTTTTGCACAAAAAAGCCCTGATCGCGAAAATGGCGATCGGGGCTTTTTTGCGCAAAAGCGTGTCTAGATTGGCATGGACGCTTTTCCGCAAAAAGTGCTTTTGCGGAAAAGCGTCTGTGCCAATCTAGATGCTCTTTTCCACAAATGGAAGAACTTTTCTTTATGCACCCTCTCCACGCCACTCATGCTTTTCATAGAATCATAGAATAATAGGACTGGAAGGGACCTCGAGAGGTCATCGAGTCCAGCCCCCCGCCCTCAAGGCAGGATCAAGCTCCGTCTACACCATCCCTGACAGATGTCTATCTAACCTGTTCTTAAATATCTCCAGAGAGGGAGATTCCACCACCTCCCTTGGCAATTTATTCCAATATTTGACCACCCTGACAGTTAGGAATTTTTTCCTAATGTCCAATCTAAACCTCCCCTGCTGCACTTTAAGCCCATTACTCCTTGTCCTGTCCTCAGAAACCAAGAGGAACAAATTTTCTCCTTCCTCCTTGTGACACCCTTTTAGATATTTGAAAACCGCTATCATGTCCCCCCTTAATCTTCTTTTTTCCAAACTAAACAAGCCCAGTTCATGAAGCCTGGCTTCATAGGTCATGTTCTCTAAACCTTTAATCATTCTTGTCGCTCTTCTCTGTACCCTTTCCAATTTCTCCACATCTTTCTTGAAATGTGGTGCCCAGAACTGGACACAGTACTCCAGCTGAGGCCTAACTAGTGCAGAGTAGAGCGGCAGAATGACTTCACGAGTTTTGCTTACCACACACCTGTTGATACAACCTAGAATCATATTTGCTTTTTTTGCAGCAGCATCACACTGTTGACTCATATTCACCTTGTGGTCCACTATGACCCCTAGATCCCTTTCCGCCATGCTCTTTCCTAGACAGTCGCTTCCCATCTTGTATGTATGGAACTGATTGTTCCTTCCTAAGTGGAGCACTTTGCATTTCTCTTTATTAAACTTCATCCTGTTTACCTCTGACCATTTCTCTAACTTGCTAAGGTCATTTTGAATTATGTCCCTATCCTCCAAAGAAGTTGCAACCCCACCCAGTTTGGTATCATCATCAGTTTTGTTAAAAGCATTTGCGGAAAATCATGCCAGTCTAGACGTAGCTGCAGTTTTTACAGAGAGTTGCAATCTAAGTGTCTGGTTATAGACAATTTCTCAGATAGCACACCATCGAGAGTACCTCTCCTGTCATGTCATCATGAAACAGCTTTATGAGTGAGATGAACTTTGTTGGGCAACCCAGCTTCCTGAGGATGATCCACAATGCGTCTCTGTTAACTATGTCGAATGCCTTCATCAGATCAATGAAGACAGAAAAGAGGTTCATATTATGTTCAAGGCACTTCTCTTGCTCCTGTCTCATTATGAAGATCATATCGACAGTGCTGCTATTAGGGCGGAAACCACATTGTGACTCAGGGGGTATGTCTACACTAGCTCATTAGTTCGAGCTAGGTAGGGTAATTAGGGCAACCGGAGTTGCAAATGAAGCCCGGGATTTGAATATCCCGGACTTTATTTGCATGTTCCCAGGCGCTGCCATTTTTAAATGCCCTGTAGTTCGAACTACCTGCCCACAGCTACACGCGGCACGGGCTAGGTAGTTCCAATTAAAGCTCCTAATTCGAACTACCGTTACTCCTCCTGCAATGAGTAACAGTAGTTCGAATTAGGAGCTTTAATTTGAACTAGGGTGGCTAGTGAAATCAGGCAATCGGAGTTGCAAATGAAGCCTGGGATTTAAATATCCCGGGCTTTATTTGCATGTTCCCATCCAGCCGCCATTTTTAAATCCCCCTTAGTTCAAACGAACTGCCCACGGCTACACGCGGCAGTTTAAAGTTAATCCGAACTAAGTCCTTAGTCCTTTGGTGTGTAATTTTGTACAACATAACCTGTGCGTGAAAAATATTATTATAGTGGGAAAGCCTTTGCACAGAGACGATCCCACTCTCTCGGCCTCAGAAGTCGGAATCCAGTGGCACGAAAAAATCGTTACTTCTGGAGACTATCTAGGCTGCATTGGATGGCCATGTCACTTTAAATGCTCTGACAT